TGTTGTCGTTTTTCTTTTTTTTTTTTTCTTTTAGATTAGAATTTTGGTTTCTGATCAACAGCGCTAGTAGTATCACTTTATCAAAATTTTTTTGATTTTCTTATTTCAAAACAAAAATTTTTAATACTGATGAATACCTTCCCACCCCAACAAAAGTGCCTCATCTATTCATTGCAATTCTGTATACATTTAACTTCTTCTAACTGAACAACCTAAAATAAAGCACATTTCTACAAACTGATGTATTCCTTTTCCTGTTGTTCTACAATTCATTCTTGAAGAATAATTTATATGCACTTTAGTTCTGCTAAGAGTAGTTTTTTTTATTCAACATGGAAAGAAGATAAAGATGAACAACAGTGCAGAACTTCTCGTCACAGTACGTCAAAAATTGCCGAAATGAAAAATGAGCTTCATCTGATATTAATTGAATACAGAAACAATGTAATGTCATGTTTATTGCATTCCATACTGATTTTCCAGTCAATCAAGTATTTTAGTACATTTATCATCATACTTCTGTTTCTTTACATTATACATTCAGAGGTATCGTTTTAACATGAATTGATCAGAATCAACTGTTAAAAACCTTTGATTGCCATATGTATCAGGACAGAAACTATTATATATTCTAAAGCCATAAAGTGTGAAGTCACTGTATGCTCATCATTTCGTCCATTCTTGCCTAAGCTATAAACACTTTTTTAAATACACTGTTGTATTGATACCCCATAAACTGCGCAATAAAGTACTTATCGACTATGCCCAATTAACTTTTTCTCCATAAGCAAGTTATACTAATGAGTAATTATAAATAAAAAGCACCAAAATTCAACGAAGTGGAACATTTTTTTGCCATTAAGCTGAAATATGCAACTGGCTATAACTGGATAAAAGTAGTGCTAATAAATAGCGTGATTTACAACTTCATTTTAAAAATAAAAAATTCTAAAGGTGTAAAATACTGCACGATCGCACATGTTTGCCACCATTCTTGATAATCTTGTCAATTTCCGGTCTAAAAAAATTGATAAATTTTTTTTTTTAGCCTGTAGGAATAGCAAAATATCAGAAGTAAAATGAATGAAAGAAAGAAAAGCCAAACTTATCTGCTGAATTAAAATTAAAAATTTTTTTTCAGTTTTGAATAACAGAAATAATTTCATTGTTAAAACTTCAGTATGTCAGTTCTTGTAAACACAATTATTAGCTTTCGGAATCCAACATTTTCTAGATTATTCTTGAAGTAGCACAGTCTCGACATTATTTGTTCACTGTAATTTATTGTGTCGATTTAAGCAACTAAGCCGTAGAGTGTTAGAGACTCGGTAGTATCTACAGAAGTGTGTAGAGACCGCATAATATTGAGTCGTGTTCCGGTGTTCATTTTATTCCAAGCTTCTGATATTCTTAATCAAAAAACTTGCAGGTTTTGACGATTTGACCTCCAGACGGGATCATTTATCACCCTGATGCAAACATTTATGCAATCCATTGTTTATCCTGAAAGAAACAACTGAGGACAAGCCTCATCATGACTTCACTTTATACAAACAGCTGTCTTATCTCCTTGTCCATACCCAACGTTTCATTGTTCTTCTGTACCCATTTTACAACAAAACGATTCTGGCCCCACTACCGACTTTATCAATAATTTTTTTACCTATTTTTACCAGCCTCAATAGTTCAATTAATCAACCGTGTTTTTCAATACTATCAATCGCTCATTGCAGGAACAGCTAGAAGCATGTAACGTATCTTCATCGAGTGAACATTAATACTGTTAGAACAGATAATGCTGCACGCAGAAAGCCCTAGCAGCCAAATTTGTGAGGTTTATAAGAAAAACCTAAAAAGCGGGGTGGAAACGAGTGCAATTCGTTGAAATTTAAACTTGACAGTCACAATTATTAAATTTTTGCTTTTTTAAAAATTTAAATTCTATCTTACGCAAATTATCAAGTTTTGCTCACAAAAAAAGAAAGGCTGGAAATTGAGTAACTGTGGTGAGGAACAATAGATCAAATGTATTCCTTAATTTTAAATACAATGTCAGATAAATATTACGAGGTAGCCAACCCACTAAACCTTCCCTTACGCAAAAAAAAAAAAAAAAAAAAAAAAAAAAAAAAATTAGTT